CTTTATTCATAATATTATTATGTTCACTTATTTTTACACTCTCATAGGCATCTAGATGCCTGTTGTTGTTTAGTTTAATCTTCCTCTTGAAGATGATCACTTGGTGATCGAAACACGTGCCGAGTGTTAAAATAACGGTATGGTATTGGGAAAAACTCCAGTAATATTTATATATGGGTGATGAAATTTATGCCTGTTCGAAATCCATAAAAACCGATCTTGTGATCTGTCAGTGAAGGAACATACGACTTCTTTGCAATCTTCGGAAATATATATAATCACTTTTTATTATTGATGAGTATTAATTTATTCTTAATGATAGTTCATTTGTATGATTAATAAAGAATCCTACACCATCTGCATGCTGGAGAGACGTATACTCGTATACCTCGGGATGGAACAACGCCACTCACGAGAGGTAACAGCAGTGAAGAACTCTCCGCGGCAAGTATCACAACAAACTCCGACAGATTTGGTCATCGGAACTGTCGGGGAAGAACAAAGTTGGTGCAACAAATAAGATTGCCGTTCCAATCTTACTCTGCCCGTTTGGAGTAGTGAAGTGGATTCGGAAGCAGTTGTATCAACTCGATGTGGAGACCCGAAAAATGATGCATCCCCATAGGAGTTTGCATCCCAAATCGTCCGTTCCACGGCTCGACAATAAGGAGGCCGGAGGTTAATAAGTAACAGAATGGTACTGGATGGAGCCTGTAAAGTCGTCACGAGTTCGGATTCCCTTCTTTGCATGGTCCGCGACCATGAGAGAGCAGGAATTGGAGCTTTTTTTTAGGGGAGTTGCCAAGCAGCTAATGAACTCATCTTAGTTTTAGACACTGAACGGGGTGACCATAACTCTGTCACCGAGTTGGAATCTGTTCAGCAAAAGGCTCATATAAAAGCCGCAGAGTACACACACAAAAATGAGCCTTCTTCAATAACATTGATGTCCTTGGCTTATCAAAGCGCCTGACTCTCGCTTTCCTCCAATCAAGTGGCGTGAAGTCGGGAACTGAGGGGTTCATCATGGCCTGCCAGAATGGTGACTTCAACACCTTAGTCTACCGCAATCGCGTGATGGGTATAGAGGTTCCTGGCACAAGGTGCAGGACTTGCCGCGAGATGTCCAAATCCCTAATGCACTTGTTGTTCGCATATCCGGCCTATGCGGTCTCGGTCTATATTTATCTACATAACCCCGGCCCTAAGAGTTCTGACGGTATTGACGAGACACCGGTGTTGCCCTACGCACCGGGGGATATTGAATCTGTTGTGGCGAACTAGAAGTGCCGAATTTATTGGAACTATTCGTTCCCCACCCTCAGCCTCATACAAGCTAATAGGCCTGATATAGTCCTTCTCGACCACCAGAGCAAGACGAGATTTGTTTTCAGCTCCTGGCGAGACGAATTTCGCCCAGAAGAGGAGAAAAAAACGGATAGAATATCGAGATTTTCTCTTCGAACTCCTCAGACTTTATCCAGACCAATCTGTCGTATTGGTTGTTCTGATTTTATTGGAATCCTTGGTGGAATAATGTCCTCTCTACTATCGAATCTCAAAATCATACCGGCTTGCCGCACCAAGTCAGAAATCTTAGCCGGAAGGCTGATATTTTTGGCACACTACGCTTACTCGGGGCACATGATTCTCGAACCCAATGATCACTTACCCCACGGTGTGGGGAGTGGTCATTGGTTGATAATGATGGCGCACCTTCCCGAAAGTGTCGGGGCTTCGGGGGATAGGGCCTGACCAGCGCACACTTCGGTGGAATAAATGTGTGAAAGCTATTTTTCGTTTTTTTTGCCGGTTTTTTTTTACAGGTTTTATGCCTGACGTTTCGTCTACAACTGCGGTAGACATTATCAAAGGCGATGTGGTAACGGTCGCAGTGCCCGTGTGGGTGCTCGAGTTGTTGTTCCCGTTGTTTCCAGTGCAGAAACTGTAGTTATTCCATTTTTGAAAGAATGAGCTTGTAACATAATTGTTTCTGGATACAAAAAAGTACTATATTTATAAGGGTGATTACTGACTTCTCAGATGATATTTCATTGGCCGAATATAACAAATATTGGTTTTTATTAAAGTAAGTCTATGAGAAAGAATTTTGTCTCATTCAATGATGCCAAAGTTCAAAAATTTGTATTCGTGTGTGCAGATCATATTTCTCGATTTCTAAAGAATTTATATTAACTGACCTATTGGAATTTTTAAAATCAGATCATCAAATTAACCTTTTCCTGTCAATAATTTTAGTTCAGTATTGACAACAGTATCTATTCAAAAAACACTTTTTTGTGTTTGTTTTCCAAAAACGCAGCACGTGTTTCGCCATACAATGGCTTCTTCGAGCGTGTCTTTACTAACTAAATTTTACATATTCAATGCTAATTTTACATATTCAATGCTAATTTTACAATTTGAAGTACCTAAATTTCAAGTACCTCAGTTTTTCTAACCATTCAATGTTTTATGTGTACCTAAGTTTGTAATGACCTGAGCTTTTGTACCAGTTTCCACCTTTGAAAAAATATTTAGTAACGGAATGTTACTAAATATTCAGTATATTACCCGAATTCTTCTTCCAGACATGCTAGAAGATTGAGTTTCAAACTATTCTCTTCTAAATGTAACACTTAGTGTCATGATTGAACTCATGTCCTTCTGCTAAAAGGTGGTTCGCTAATGTGGGAATTTTCTTTCAATTTAAGAAACTACTTATTTCATCAGTTCGGACTTCCATTGTCTAATATAATATAAATTAATTTGAAAGTTCTCCCTGTTTGGCCAATATAAGGTTTTGGGTCCATGGCTTGCTTTTGTAGTTTTTTTTTTGTAAAGAATGGAGTCGATAATATCTACCTTATAACCGTGGTTGGCCGCGATTTGTTTGATGAAACTCAGCTCTCCCTGGAAATTACCTACAGTGGAATATACAATAGACTGTGAAGCATTCTACTGAATGTAGCTAGTTCATGCTGGTAAGGATGTGTGGAGGAATTATGTATGACAATTTTCGTATAAGGTGGTATGTGGAAAATTGCAAAATCATGTTTATGATTAACTTTCGTAATAGTCAAGTCAAGGTAATTTATTGAATTATTTACCTCCCTTAAAGTGGTGAATTTTATTGACGGGTGAATGAAAATGACATATTAGACGAATTTACCTATTTGCCTATCTGTTCTAGTAAACATGCTAAGACTTCATCTACGTATCTGTACCAGTACAAGAAATTGTTAGTTAACTGATTCATCATGGATTTCATTATCTATGTTATCCATGAAAATTTCAGCAAGCAAAGGACTCAACGGGTCACTCATTATTATTAGTCCTTCACTGCATGAATTGAATGTTTCGTCGAATTGGAAATAATTCTATAGGCAAATACTAAGTAAATCTAAAATTTCCTGTTTTATTAATGGATTCATTCGTTTTTGTCTAAGACTAGATCTTCTAGAATGTCCAGAAATGAATAGGTTTAGGAATTTAGGTATTTACTAAATGACCAAATAGGATTGAATGACTACCCCTTACTGAATATTTTTTCAAATTTGGAAACTGTAACATACGCTCAGGTCATTTAATTCATTATAAAGGTACCTATATATAAAGGGAAAACTCATGTACTTGAAATTTAGGTAATTCAAATTGTAAAATTAGATATTAGTTTGTGTTGCACGTGTTGCAATTTTTAAATTTTTTTTTGTGAAAATCTCACAATGAAATGTTTTTGAATACGTTATAGATTTTCATCAGGTATCGGCTAATTCCACCATAAAACAGTATCTATATTAAGTACTAATAGTAGTTGAAGAATATCTATTTGAACCTACAGATCTGCTTCTGAAATTATCGAAGCTATTCAGAAGCGACTTCTTATTGCAACAGCAATAAAAAATCAAATTTATTTTCTAAATAATACATCTTCCTCTCCACAACTGATTTTCGGGGGAACCGGTTCATTTTGGTAGAAAAACCGCTGTACCAATCATCTAACTTACTTTAATGTTTTGTGAGCCCTTTAACATGTCTCACAAAACAAAATATCTTTTTTTCTTGTATGAAGATCGCTGAATTCTTCACATAAAAAGAAAACGAATATATCTTTAAATATTTTAAAAGCTTCAATAGAAAACCCTCATAACCCTATTGTAGGTACTTAATATTTCTCAATCCAAATTATGAATATTCTGACTTACTACTTGATGAAAATTAATAATAACACTTTCCATGACTTGAAACAACAAAATTCCTCATTGATATCAGAAGAAATAAAAAATACATAGAGGAAGCTTGAATCGGCTCAAATACTTTATCATCTAACATTTTACAAAACCACACGTGTTTCACTATGCAATACGTTCTTCAGATGTGTTTTATTACACGATGGCTCCTTCAGGCGTGTACAATACTCGACTATCAACGTTTGTTTATAGGTGATTGACAATTTTTCATGATGAATTTCATTACTTTGGACTTCCATTGTCTGATATTATATAAAATGATTTGAAATCCCTGACAGAACTACGAAAAAAAAGAAGAATTAAAAAAAAGCTGAAAATAACAATTATATTAGGCAAAAAAAGAAATGAAATAACAGTGAAATTAAATAAAAGTAAAAATAGAACAATTGAATAAAAATTGAAAATAAAAAGTCAAGAGATTTCAAGCCATGTATTAACAATAGNACGCTTTGTTATGATATTCTTCATTTTTTATCAGTTCTTTCAGGAATTTCAAATCATTTTATATAATATCAGATAATGGAAGTCCTAACTAATGAAATTCACTCGACTTTCATTTACGCTTGGAGAAGCTATTGTACAGTAAAATCATGTTGCGGTGTCAATGTTCAATGAATATCTCACAATAAGGTGTTACTCGAAAGAGTGTTCATGGTTTTTCCTCAAGTATCGGCCAATTCCATCATATACATCTAAGTTCGTTATTAACTAAGGTCAAGGATATATAAATAAACTTCGTTTTTGTTTTAGCGATTTCACCCGTTTCAACCTTCACCAACATTTCCAATGCAAGCATTCTTACGGGAGGCAACAGCAATACTTCCCCCACCTCCGTGGAATCTCTCGAGGAACCAAGGGCTTCGAGTACGTCGTCCAGTCATTCCCCTCAGCCCCAACCGTCGTCCTCAACAGGATCCGCCACGAATAATAGCAGTTCCAGCAACCAGAGCAAACCTCCCTACTCCTACGTGGCGTTGATAGCGATGGCAATTCAAAGCAGCCATCTGAAGAGGGCTACGCTATCCGAGATCTACCAGTACATCACTTCGAAGTTTCCGTATTTCGAGAAGAATAAGAAGGGGTGGCAGAATTCCATCAGGCACAATCTGAGCCTGAATGAATGTTTCGTGAAGGTTCGTATCGCTTTGAGAGACATAATTTCAACTTTCTGTATTCGAATAACCTAGACTGTTCAAAAAATAGGGTGATTGTTCAAATTTCGCACTGTGCACCGGTGAGAGGCATAAAAGCTAGAAGTTTTTTGCGTGTTCGGCGATTATCTGCTATAGAAAAAAATGGTTTGAAAAAATCTCATCAAGTTTTGTGTAAACAATGGAATTAAGTGTCCAAGTTCCTTGCCATAAGCAATACAAAGAAAACTTCCGATATTGTGGAAAAACAATTCCTGGCTTTTGTATCGCGGTACTGCACCTGCTCACTCGTCATTGCTTGTTCGCAATTTTTTGGCCAAGAACAACACCGTGGCCTCAGCCACATTACTCACCAGTTTTGCTCCCATGCGAGAAGTATTTTTCAAGAAAAATGAAAAGTCGCCTAATTTTTTGAACAGACAGCGTATGGTAGTTCATTGGAGAATATTTTTACTTATTACCTGAACAGTCGTTTGTCAGAAGGTTTGTTGATCTATATTTACCAATTTTATGTGGGATTCGTTACTTTGGTTAGGCTATAAATTGATGCAGTACTGGGATAGCAAAGAAATACTAAAAGGAAAAATGATGTTGCCAATTGAAACAAGCTCTGGTTTAGTATGACTGGAATATTATTATTTTCCTGGTGTTAATAGAAGCTGCCCCGCCTTCCCAATTCAGAGAGTTTCCGAAATATTTTAATGGCATTGAGAGTCGAGTAAGATGTCGTATTGAGTCTTCGTTGAAGTCCGTATTGTTGCCGAAATGAAAAATCTACAAGCCAACAAAAAATCAAATTGAATATAAACTGGACAAATAAATTCCATACATACCCAGACGCCCGGTATTCGTGTGTAACTCTTTAAGAATGGCCTGGCAGCTTCCACCTGCTGGCCTCCACGTTAGCACAGCAACCTCATTCGCCTAGGCCCTAGGTCGGATCGTATCGTTGCGTCTGTAGAGCAGCATACAAGGAACTCGTGTTCAACCCAACATAACAAACACAAAAGACATTTCCAAATAGACTTCCCATTAATATTCAATTCACGTTACTACGGAAAAGATCCAGAAAAAAATATTTTTCTTCTAGTTTGGGTCTGAAAGTAACTTCCATGCACGATCGCCATATCTTTATAAATAGTTTATTTTCAACTTGATTTCGTTCTTCATTCTTTCAGAAGTGTCAGACAGATTTTTTATGGAGATGGAGAAGTGAAAGCCTGACCGTTTTTTTGCAAATGATTATTTATGACAGAATAATACCCCTTTCAAATCTCCTTTGTTTTCCAACTCAAAATGTTGAACCTGCTAGTGTTATAAAACTATTTTCATTACATAATCTTTCAAAAACACCTTTAAGATATCAATTAACCTCAAGTCATCATGAAGTGATTACTATATAGTACTTACTAACGGAGATGTGGAAACGCCTACCTGATTTGCTGAAATAAATCCTGTCTGATGTCTGAATCTAACCCAGAGTAAGACTTATGGAACCCAGTATGAAGGTACAAAATCTGCTATGAAAAATTTGATGGATGTGTATTATATATAAAATGAGACAATGTCTGAAATAAAATGTGAAAATTTTAATTTTGTGTTCAAAACAGAAGTACATGTCCTCCGACACCATCACAAACAGAATAGAATATCGGGAGATACGGAGTGTGTCAAAAATGGTATTGACCGCGTCTATGAAGATGGAAAAGGATTACCGCAACTTCAAAGGATTAATCAGAATTTTGGAAGATGGCATAAGAAGACTGATTTCAGAAAATACCAAATGGCATACGTTGATGACTATATTTCCTAAAAGCAAATATATATTTGAATATATCGGTAGAAAATCCGCGGTTCTGAAATTGACGGAGGTACACTCAAAAATGAAGATTACATTGAAACCAAAATTTTTAAAGGACCTGATGGAGTGTAAACGCCTCTCAAAGCAAAACTACATGTGTTCAGATGAACAGGTAGATGCTGTTGAATATCACACAATTCGAAAAGTAGTGTCACATGTCATCTCATCGAATCTGGAAATGAGAAAAGACCAACGGAGTTTATTATTTTCATGCATCTCTTTGGAAGAAGGACTGTGGGAGATAATAACAGAAAATTTCAAATGGAGGACATTGATGACGACAACCCAGAGTAAGACTTATCGAACCCAGTATGAAGGCACTAAGTCTGCTATGAGAAATTTGATGGATGTGTATTATAAAATGAGACAATCTTTGAAATAAAATGTGAAAATTTCAATTTTGTGTTTTTATTGAAAGGCCATCACTAATGTACCGTTTCCTATTTGAATTTATAGTATTTTGAAAATATATATATCTAGATATTTGATTCCCTTCCTTTACATCTTGTCAAGTCGTTTATGTTCAAAACTTGCGTTTGCCTTTCAAATCAAGCTTTCAAAACCTTTTTCATAACGTCACATTCCAATAAATCTAACCTCTAACAAAAAACTACTGTTTAAAAAGTTTGCCATTCATATGCCATCACGCGAAGCGCGCTAAATTCAAAATTAAAAAAAAACTAATTTCTCTACATTTCCCAGGCGAAGAAAATTCACCCGTGAATTTTCTCTTCAGGACTAGTTTAGTGATTCTTCCATCTCTTTTTCATCTTTTATATGTACTGGAGTTAGTTTAGTAATATGGGATAGGTTTGACTCTGCTTTCCCGTATCCTGTATCTACCTCATAAATCGTATTCGATTTTTTTTTACTATTTTATATAGTCCAATTCTCAGCTCATCCAGTTTTCTTCTATTTAGTTCATTAAAATTTGAAAACAAAAATTGCCTAATAAACTTTTGCCATTTTTGACAAACAAAAAAAACCATAGAGTGCCTTGGAAATGAAACTAAAATTGTGAAAGTTAGTGTCAAGATACAGTTTTTCATGCTTAATATTTCAATAAAAAAAATTGAGATTGATTGAAAAATGCACATTCTACAGGGGTGGTTCCATTTTAAATGGGTCACACTGTATATATCTGGATTTTTTTTATTCCCTTCATTAATATCTCGTCAAGTTGTTTATGTTCGCCTTTAAAATCGAGCCCAAATCCTCGATGATTTTCTTGCGATTATAGTATAAAGAAAAAAGGATAGTAAGACAGCGGCTGTGTTAAACTTGTTTGATGCATTTTAGCGCGCACCATCGCAAACAAATGCTATTATTTTGAGGAACTAATGAATTCAGCTTGTAAATGGTAGATTCAGGTAAAATTTTCTGTCTCGTCACATTTTTGATGACTGAATCTAATAATTGTATAAGTACCTGCTAATGTTATAAAACTATATTTATAACATAATCTTTAAGGAACACATTTAACATACCAATCAACCTCAAATCATCATAGAGTGATTAACAATGTACCTGTTTAATGAGATCCGGAAACGCATACCTAATTCGAGTATAAAAGCAGTACATCTCATCATTCATTACCATAATCTCATAACCATTCTGTGAGTTAGTAACACTGGTGACTTTCAGAGCAATACAAATAATTATCGATAGGATCGAAATGGAACAAGTTCCAAGATTTTTAGAAGATTTAACAAAGTGCCTTAGTCGCTCAAAACGGAAGTACATGTCCTCCGACACCATCACAAACAGAATAGAATATCGGGAGATACGAAGTGTGTCAAAAATGGTATTGGCCGCGTCTATGAAGATGGAAAAGGATTACCGCAACTTCAAAGGATTAATCAGAATTTTGGAAGATGGCATAAGAAGACTGATTTCAGAAAATACCATTTTTTTCCGAGGTGAGATTTCACGAGGAAGGCTGTGTGGTAATTCCCGATTTGATTTCTAATTAATATCTACATAGAAGGCCTTTCCTTTTTGGAAGATAGGTTGGCCTTTTTAGAGATGATTTAAGGTTTAAGATACCTAAATTTCTTTCCTGATTTGTGAGGAGGGTACGCCATTTGCCATTTTGTTAGGCCCATGAAGTGTAGATGGGATTTTGGTTTACTATCAATGTATGGTTACATTTAGAAACCCGTTACTCAGTATTCCTGCTGGTTTATTGTCAGCTCAGTCAAGAGGATTCAAGGATTCCCAATGAAGCAACAAGCTTTAACATCAGGACTTATAATTCTGGACGTTAGCCCTGAAGGAAAGGTTAGATCTATCCATTAATGATAACTCCAGGATCCAAAGAATTATTTATATTAGGAGAAGATAATACTTACCACTCAACATTTGAATTTTTGAATATATAATCATCAGCAATATGATATTGAAAGAAATTAACACGTGAACTCATGTATTGGCCAATATAAGGGGAATGTAAAATAACTTAGGAAGATTTCAAATGAAAAGTACAAATCAATAGAAAGTAAATCATTGAAATATCCCTTAAAGGAAGTAGTGGTATTGTACATACATTTTTATTGTTGGTACCTCATTATATAACCGTACAGTTCAACAGGTCTTTCAATCATTTTTGTTATTTCTCTGTTTTTGTCTGTAAATAGAGTGGCGCCCTTTCGAAGAGCACCCACATATTAATGAACCCATGCCTCGCTCCCTAACACCAGAGCTGCCATGCCTATAACACTAACATTCAAAACGCACAACAACAAGTTTAAATTAAAATGGAGTTATAGTATTTTGGCACCCATAAACGTGGGGCTTCGATTTTGCAGAGTGGTAAAATTGATTTTTCTCATTTTGAAGTTTGAAATTGCTGCATTCAATATCATTAATTCACATAAGACTGATTGAAATATAGATATTGGTATTATTGTTAGGAGTATACAGAGTGGTCAATTCATAAGTAATTTTGATTCTTTTTACAAAAGATAAATATAATATAAACATGGAAGGCCAGGTTAAGCCAAAATTTTTGCTATTAGATGAAATGGACTATGAACTTCGAATACGAGGTATAATCACAAATAGGGATATGAACGGAAAGCGAAAAATTCTATCCATAGCTTTACGTAAAGAAAAAAAGGTA